TGCGGGGTGAACACCGCCTCGTGCGCTGCAGACAGCCCTGAGCGGCAGCGAGGCACCAGCAGCCAAATTCTGTGACTCATAGAGCGAAGGCACCGGAGCCGACGGCGCTGTGCTGCGTGCAGGATGTTCCAGCGGGGCACCGGCCGCCGCTGCCAAGAGGTGAGGTAGCTGCTGGTGCACCACACTGCTGCCTGCGGACCCCCGGCAGCGCTGCGGCCCTGCCTGGCAGCCCTGTGCCTCTGCCTGCAGGTGGAGGGGAACCAAGCTGACACCCAGTGCCGATGCTGGCGCTGGTGCCAAGATGGGCCCAGAGCGGGCTCCTTCCATGGTGCCGGTGTTGGGCAGAGCCTGGGGACAGAGGCTCAGCCTGGCCCCTCGCACAGCGCGTCCCACGCCGGGCTGCACAGGGGTGGTGGGGCACAGCCCTGCCTGCAGTGAGGCAGCACATGGTGCCATGCCCCCGTGACGTGGATCCAGCGTGAAGGCTGGCACCCGGCACCCCCTCCCTGCAGCTCTAGGGCAGAGCCCTCAGCAGGGGCTGGGCTCAGCCCCCCCGCCCTGGCAGCCCCCATGCCGTGGGGCTGGCTGCTCCGGGGACGAGCACCCAGCTCGTGCCACGCTCGCAGCTCACCCACACCCGACACACCAGGGTCTTCTGCGCTCCTGCACGCAGCTGCGAGAGGCTCAGTGTGCCGGGGCTGCGGACTCCTGCCATCTGCAGCCTCTGAGAAGCACCCCCTACCCCGTGGGCTGGGGAGTGCTGGGCCGAGCCCCACAGCCCTGCGTGGTGCCTGAGGCCAGGTTGGGCCCAGCCCCCTGAAGCGCCGGTGCCGTCCACGCACGGCCCCATCGCACGGCCCCATCGCACGGCCCCAGCCCTGCAGCGAGTGCTGCTCTGCGGTGCTGTCGGGTGGCTGCGGCTGCAGCCCCTTCGCATCCCTCAGGCGCTGAGGGCTGGGCAGTCGGGCGGGCTCTGCGGCTCCATCCCCGTCAGGGTGCACCGTGGTCCTGCGCAGGTTTCACACAGCAGCCCGTCCTTGGAGTTGCACCCGTTTGCCTGGAACTGCACCCCTACCCAGGGCCAGAGCAGGGTACGAGCCAGCAGGGCCTGGCTGGTACGAGCCAGCGTCAGGGCGGGTGTGCGAGGGAGCACGGAGCAGGCTCCCTGGGGCTGGGAGGAGGAAGGACGGTGCATCCCTCAGTGAGTGCCATGACGGCGGCTGGTTGGCAGTGCCCAGCCTGGTGCTGGCAGCACGTGGGGACGGCTCCGTCCAGCTGCTCAGGGCTGCAGCAGCGCAGCCGAGGGGGCCGGGGCTGGGGCCCCCGGGTGGGATTAACCACCGTGGTCCCACCAGCTCTGCTCTGGAGACCCTGGTCAGGAGACGCTGGGCACGGCACTGCGTGAGGCAGGTCATGTCTGCTCGCTGCCTGTGTAGGACGAGCCTGGATGCAGGTCTCCATGAGGCAGCAAGGCAGGCAGGCAGCAGCATCGTGGGACTCCTTGCAGGCAGGACAGACAGGCTCGTCTCAGGCAAGGCAGAGGTAGATGTGGCCCTGGCACAGCCCCAGCCCTCAGACAGACCCTGCCTCCAATCTCGCCTTTGCTGCACAGCCCTGCATCAAGCATGCCGTGAGCGCCGCGAGGATCCTGCACCCCGTGCCTGTGTCCCCTGGGTGCAGCTCGCCCTGTCCCACGGCTCCGCCGCAGCGGAGGCACCATCACACCCCACAAAACAGCCACAATGCGACCTGGTGACCCCCTAAGTCACCATCCTCTCTGCCAGACCCCCCCTCCCCTCACCGAGGCAGCCAGGGTAGCCCACCCCCAGCCACCCGAGCCGCTCAGCACCGCAGTGCCCCAGCCCCGCGCGCAACGCCACCACCACGGCCGCACGCTCAGCTCCATCGCTCTGCCCCTGCCCCAAGGCCCTGCTCGCCTGCCTGTCAGCGGGGAGAGCAGCTCTGGTCCCCAGCACACTGTGGGGACAGGAGGGCTGCCAGCAGCTCTGTACAGGAACGACCGGCCTGAAACTGCTTCTGCACAGCCCCCAGCATGGGACAGAGCGCCGCGAACTCAAGTGTCACGAGAATCGAGAGGGAAAAACGCCGTTTATTGGGTGCTCCGACCGGCCGCAGCAGAGCTACAGAGAAACCCGTTTTCAGGGGCAGCGCACCCAAACTGCAGCAGTGGGTGCTGCAGGCCGCAGGTGCGGGGCAGACAGCCCAGGCCGGGGCAGGCAGCGCCGACCCCAGCGCCGAGCAGGGCAGCGCCCGACCCACAGCATGGCCAGCCCAGGCCCTGCACCAGCACCCACCGCTCTGGCTCCTCACCCTCCCTGGATCTGCCACTGGGGAAGGACAGACCAGTGCCGTAGCAGGAACGCCCCAAGTGCGGGGCCACGGGCCAGGGACGGGAGCGAGCACGGATGGAGGAGCACACCGCGGGGCAGAGCTGCCCCATGGCATGGCAGGCTGCCGGCCCATCTCAGGGCAGACCCGTCGCCATCTTCTCTACGTGTCCCTGCGAGCAGTGAGGGCCATAGCTGCAGGTGATGAGGTCCCCTGAGGAGGGAGCAGGACGGGTGCTGCCCGCACCCTGTGTATCCCGTCCCCCCCCAGCCACGGGTGCCTTTTCCAAGGGCTCCGGAGGTGCGGCAGAGTCAGGCAGCAGGCGGGCACGGGAGGCAGGGAGGGGACACGGCTTCCCCCTCACATCCGATTTGCTTTCCAGGAGAGGTAGCAGTTCCAGACGATGGCAACGCACTGGACGACGGCCAGCCTGGGGACAGAGGGGACAGGGTCCACAGCCGCGGGCTCCGGGAGCCAGGGAGCCAGGGCCACGCCTGCGTTACTACCTGTGCTTCAGGGGCACGAAGTAGAAGTTTGCGATTTGCACTGGTGGCCAGATCTGGGCAGAGAAGGAGACGGTGGTGAAGGAGCCCTGCTGGCACCCCCATCCCATGCCCAGGCATTCGGGGGACAGGGGCGCAGGGGAGCCCAGCTGGGCCGCCCCAGCCAGGGGCATGGCCGGCACTGGGACGGGGAGGAGCGCGGACCCGCCTGCGGCTGCCGCCAGCACCTACGCCGGAGGTGGGCAGCA